TGTGTGTGTGTGTGTGTGTGTGTGTGTGTGTGTGTGCAAAATACTTTATATGACGAGATGACGAGAAGCTATGTTAAAATTTACTGATTATTTACACGACGCGAAGTATCTGACGTGACATAATTTTTCCGGACGTCCGCGGTATCGTGGTAAGATTGAGCATCGTGGTAGGATCGAGTGCAGGCGAATAATCACAAATGAACGTGAATGAATGTAGAAAGAAAGTTTTTTTTCTTTGGCGTACTAATTGTAAAACAAAGTTATCCTTAAACTAATTAAGGAAATGTCAGAGACAACGATCAGAGAAATCAGAGAAAAGTCAGGTAATTTTGCTGAAATTATCTGGAAAATTAAAATTCTTGGCTTTAAAAAAGTTTAATATTCGTATCATACGCAGTTTTGGAATACTGTCAACTTAACAATTAAATGCAAGTAATATTAGCATATTAATAGTAAGTTATATTGCTAAGTTAAATTATTTTAATAAAATATTTGACGGTTTGCAAATCAGGAAAATACAAAAAATCAAAATATTATTAAAAACAACAAGAAAAATCTTGAAATTTTATCCAGAAGTCAAGAAAAATTATGAAATTTTAGAGTGAGGAATTTGCAGCAACTGCAAGGTGAGACGTGTTTATCTTAAAGCGAATTTAGGCTCGTTCGTGCTCACAGCACGTTGAATTGACTGCGTTCGTTTGCGTTCGTTCGCACTTCTTAGTCCGACTCCGCCTTTTAGGTATCATCGTCTGGTCGTCGCGCTGACGTCATGTGGTGAACGCCGCGGTAACGTCAGAAGTCGTATGCAGGTGAACCATAATCTTGACGTGCACGACGAGATTCAGAGGACGTGAGCGGGAAGGAGGGAAAAAGAAGGAAAGAGAGAGAAAGAGAGAGAGATGGAGTAAAAGAGAGGCAGGAGAAGGGACCAATATGGCGAATCGGTTAAAAGCTATGCATCGGCGTTACGTCCACTAGTCCGCGAGTTGGCACGACGGCAGTGCATTCGTCGCTTCGATATCGACACGGTCGATAACGCTCTTCTTTTCCTTTCTTTTCTTTCCTTTTTTTTTCAATTTCTTTTTTTTTATCATTTTCTCCTGAAATCTCGTCGAAAAGGAAATCTAACGCCCGCGCGGAGAAAGTCGAAGTAGCGCAGATCTGCGATTTTTCACGCAAATTATCGCCGATCATCATCACCATCGTGCTGATCCCTTCCGGTAAAACGAAAGTTGAGAGAACGGTCAAGAGCGACGATCGATCGAGATAGAAGAGAGAAAGAAAAAAAAAAAGAAGAGAAGAAGACCACTTTCGCTTTCGTCGAAGTGTCACAATTGTAGTGTGTGTTACGATTTTTGGACGAACGTCGATCACTTGAGACGCAATCAACGTGCGGTAATTAGTAAGTATATTGAGATTTTTTTCTCGATATTATCAATTAATATTAATCTCTTGATGTTAATCCAGTTTCATCAACATTTAATGACAATAATAACAAAATCAATAATTTAAATGATTTTATGAAAATAATAATATATAATTAAGATTAGATAGATGTATATAAAATTATTGTAATATGATTTTATTATTATATCGTTACATTGATACAAAGAAATATTAATG